GTCCTTGTGGGCCAGGATTTGCAGCCCCCAGAAATGTACATGGTGGCTCCTCGCTCTCTTGGTCTCAGCTCAAGAAGTCACCCTCTCAGAGAGGCCCTTCCACGAGCACCTGACTGGAAGCAGCTCCACCCTGCACATCACTATCTCCTCTCCTCTTTCCTTCCACAAAGTTTCATCACTTAATGATCTTGCTCATTTATGTCATTCCTGGATTACTGTCTCACTCTCCCCACCACCTCTTAGCTCACTGGAAGCCCCCCCAAGCAGGCACATCAACTCTTGTGCCAACTGCTTTACTTCTATCTCTCATAACAGCGTCAGGCACACTGTAAGTCCTTGATTAACACTTGCTGGCTCGCTGAATGGATCCTAGTTACTGTGATGCTAAGGAATCGAGAGTCCTCATCTGTAAAACGGGAATCATGAAACCTACCTACAGGGTGGCTGGGACGACTGAGGAAGATGCTGTGAGCCCGGGACACTGCCCTGCACACAGTGAAGCCTCAATCAGCAACCATCACTACCCCAATCACCACGTTCAGCACAGGGAAGGGCTCAAGACAGAAACAAAGCCAGCTCTCTGCCCAACCTAAGGCTGGCCTTGAAAATGACTGGCCACCACAGGAGGCCCCTCTGCCCCTCCCTGCTCTTCTCAAGATCTCCAGACAGCGACATTCCCACTGGGGAGGGGGCACTAGCCCACCCGGCCCCCGCCCAGCTCCCGCCACCTGGCAGAGGCCCAGGTGGAGGCCCAAAGCACGTACCAACTAGCGGCCTTGGAGGCTCACACTGTGATCTCTGCCGCGTCCTGCATACTGACGTTTGGGCATAGAACACAAACACATTAAATAAATGTTACGGTCTTATCGACAGGAAAAGGAGCATAGAGAAAGAGTCTCCAGAGGAAGGAGGCTTGGCTGGGAGCCCCAAGCCCTGTGGCCTCCTGGTTGTCGGCGTCAAGATCCTAAAACACCAGAGAACTATCCAGAGGGATGACATCCTCAGTCCCAGGGGCAACCATGGGGTGCACTCAGCATTCAGAAAGTTTAAAATAGCAGGGGGCGCATTTCTCAGTAGCTTTTTATTTAAAAAAAAAAAAAAAACAGTCAGAGAACTGTGTAGGAGAATCTATTTATTCTGCCTGCCCGTCCCTGAAGCTCCAGGTGCTGCTACTGCCTAAAAGGCTGGAGGCTCGAACCCTCCCAGAAGCAACTTGAGAGAGAGGCCTGAAGAGCTACTTCCAGCAAATCAGCCCTGAAAACCCTCGGGAACCAATTCTATTCTGACACATGTGGGGTCACCATGAATCAGAACTGACTTCTCAGCAGCTGGTAA